CCCCCCCCCTGCCGCCTTAGAGGAGCGAGTGTTGGCAAGCGCTTGTGTGATTGGCGGCGTCGCGTGATCGCGTGATGGGTATGATGTCACCACCGCCGCCTGCTTCCTCCAACGGAGGAGAGTAGCAGTGCACTGACGTCATATCAGTCCGTGTGTGCTTGAGGGACGACGATGACCTGACCGTGTGAAAGGGATCTTGGTTAGGATATGGTGGCGCTGCAGTTCTCTTCCTCCGCCGTTGTTCTGAGAGGAGTGAGGTGTGAGGATTGCGATCTGAGGAGAGGCGGAGGGGGGGGGGCACTAGCACTACCGTAGGCATGCTGTTTTGTTGTTGACGGACGGTCTTTTGGATACGTCTATGGTGGGTAAATGTTAGGTTGTATTGTAATACTCGTCAGTGTCTTCGCGGCTGATAGAAATGCGGCGGCGAAGAAGAGAGAAACACCACCATCATCATCATCATCATCATCTTTGGTACGCAGACGTGGTTATGACCGACTGAAACCCGGAGATTGTTGCGATTGAGGGCATCATAATGTGCTGAGTGGAATGCGAGGTGGACATACCAGAACCCGCCGCCGTTATTGTGTGTGTACTCTCGACTGACACTGGAGGGAGCTTTAAGTGAAGAAGACGACACATCATAATGTGTTGAGTGGTATGCAAGGTGGACATATCAGAACTCGCCGCGATTGTGTGTGTACCCTTGAGTGACGCTGGAGGGAGCTTGAAGCGAAGAAGACGACGAGGCCTGACGAGCAATGGTTGTTTTCGGTACTCGAGTGCGGCATATGCGGAGTGTAGACGTTGAGGGGCCTTAACAGGGGGTCTTATGAGCGAAGGGTGTGATCCTGATGCAGGACGCTGATCGATTCATGGATCTGTCGAATCTGACCATGCAGCGGTATTTGGGAAAGGATGAAGACTCTGCTGCTGCTGATGCTGATGCTGAGATTGGCTGCCCCAGGTTGTGGTGGGTAACACAAGATGAGAAAGGAATGGGGGAGTGAGTGACCGCCCTCTTGTCTCGGAGGGAGGGTGGGATCATAAGAAGATCGAATGTGGTGGAGAGTTTTCGTTGTGAGAGGCGGTCGTTACTTGCGGTCGAATGGAACCCCTCTGCTACACAAGTTGAATCCACTTGTTAGGAAATGCTGTCAGTGGCAGAGCAGCACATGGCAGTGGAAGTCGTTCTTCGTTACGGACGTGTGGACTATAGCTGGACAAAAGCCAGGCACTGCGTAATCGGTGGAGGTCATGAACGGGCTTTTCTACTACCGTGTCTTCACCCGCCGGACTTGTCTACTACCATCTTCAACCGAATAGAACGCCCTGTCATTGTCGCTGTATGTAGACGGAAAGTTGCAACAAATACGGCTATATTGACCGGGAGTTGTATTCGTGTGAAGACGGCTTGAGGAGAAGTAGTTGAACACTCTCTCGTCTCGGTCGGTCATGCGCTAGACCGCCTCCGGCGAAGAGGGTGGTGGCCCGCTCGCGGTAGAGTCGTCGCGGCATCTGTCTATGCAAATGTCAACAGGACTGCATCTGTCGTCTTAACATGCTGGAGGACATGGTATGTGTTTTTTTTTTTTTTTTTTTTTTAAACTGGTATGTGTATTTTCCTGTGCCCTCTTTTCCTGTTTTGGGACCGTGGATCAAACCGATCAGAACAGAATCTACACTTGGTCTTAGCCAACAGGCCGGGAAAGGTATTTTTTGGGAAAGGTATTTTCCTGTGCCCTCTTTTTCTTTTTTGGGACGACGGATCAAACCGGGGCGAGGTCCCACTAGCAAAGAGGATTGGATAAATATACTGAATGTGGACGTGTTTTAAGCAGAGATGCAGAAAAGCAGTTCAATCTAGACAGTGTGCACCTTTCGAATAAGTCCAGACTGTCCTGGCCTACTTTAGGTGTTGGGTTTGATTGGATGTGGTTTGCGCTGTGCGGCGTGTAATGGCCTAAGCACACTTGTTTAGCCAGCCACATCTGCAGTCGAATGTCCTAAGCACACTTGTTTAGCCAGCCACCTCTGCAGTCGAATGTCCTACCGTCGTCACCCGAACATAACACACCCTGACATTGAACGTATGGAAGCTATATTTCGGGTCCGGTACAGCCAAGATGAGGGTGCATTGTGTTCGGGGGAAGACGGTAGTGCGAGTTGGCCTTTCGACTCCCTTGTGTGGTTTGCATGTCATGTGAGAGGACGGGGCGGGTGTTGCAAGAGAGAGACATTAATCGGCACAAGTCTTTTGATCTTTGTGGGAAGTGAGGGCCTCTTTAGGCACTCCTTACGAGTTCCGTGAGCCAAAAGGAAATTTCCTTGTGGCTCTTAAGGGAAATTTGCGGCGTTACACTCATCCTTGGGGACCTCCCCGGAGGATGTTTCCTTGTGGCGAGCCTGCGACCGTTTTCATACGGCCTTGTGGCGTGCATATGGAAATTAGTGGCCGTGGGGTCGGTTGTCCTTGGTCCACTGTCTTTTGTCCGTGTGGAGGCGTCGTGGTCCAGCGACTTGTGGTGGGAAATGGCATGAGGGGGGCAACGGGAAAAAACTTCAACCCAGGGGGCGTCGACGTTTGAAATTCGAATTTTGAATGACGGCTGCGACGATAACGGCGACGTGCGGCTGGCGGCGCGAAGGCGGCGTACTGTTGAAATGGGCTCAGCGGCGGCGTCACTTCCGTCCCCCGGCCGTTGCGAGTGCGCAGGCATTGTCGGCTGCGTCCATCGCCCTCGACCTTCGCACACGTTGTCGACTGCGCCTTGAAACACATTTCCGTCTGCGGGACTGCATCCAGAGAAAAGGGGCCAGCTTTCAACGGACGTCTTGGGCTTCTTCGTTGGGTGTGGAAGGACGACACACACGGCAGTGGAGCGATGGGTCCGTGTCCAGGTCACGGCTATGGAGGGCGGTGGAGAGGGTGGACGTGCGGTGTCGACGCCTCTTGAGCTGCAGGCTGTGGTAGACACAGCAAGAGCTGCAGGCTGTGGTGGCGGCTGTGTCTACCGTTGTTCTTCGATGTCAGCAGGAGAGGGTGCTGGGACGACTGAAGGAGTAGTTGCGCGCGCGTAGACGGAGGACATTGATGCAAGCTCCAGATGATGGCCTCGACTATGTGATGGCCTCGGAGGCTGTTGTTCAGCTGTGCTACGCGTTGGGTTGCAGAGATTCCTCTAGTGATGTCGAGGTGGTGGATGAAGCGCAGGACAGGAGGCACTTGGGAAGACCTCAGGCAATGCAACGATGTGACAGATGACTATTTTCGAGAGAAGCTACGGACCAACCATCGTCTGCTCCCCGCAATCCCCATGTGGGTGGGGATTGATGATGTGAGTATGTGTCGCCGCTGCTCTGCTGCTGCTCGACAACTGGA